GGGGGGCCCTGGCAGGGAGGGCCCCCGCGGGAACCCCTTCGCAGCGGCCCCTCGAGAGCGCGGGGCGCCGTTTTAAGAGCCGGGCCCGCGGGACGCGTAGGCAGCGGGGGGTCCCTTGGGTGAGGCTGAGCGGGGCTCCTGCAGGCTCTCAGCGCAGCGGGCGGGGGGTCCTAGAAGGACCTCTAGGAAGCTTTCAGGCATGGCCACCCGGCGTTTAACAGACGCGTACTTGTTGTTGCGGAACAACGCGATCCAAAGCCGGCAGCTGCTGGCTGAGCAAGTGAGTAGTTACAGCTCCTCCAGTCCTCTGACTTCACGTAGCATGGCTGCTGCGGTGAGTCTCCGTTCATCCTTCCGTATCCCACATGACGCTTGTTTGTGTGCCAACCGCTTAGATATCAAGCATGCCTTTGGGGTCCCCCACCCCCTTTCCCTGTCTTAAGCTCTATCCTCTTTTCTCCAGTCTCTGAGATCCGGTTGACCTAGCAGGTTATTTCACATATATGTTTCAGTCCTTCATTTTATGCTAGGCAGCCGCAGTGTCCGTGCGTGTGAACTTGCTAAATGCGCCTGGTTGGCTGCTGTGTGACACAGAATGCTGGGCTAGATGGGCCCGATCCAGCAGGGCTCTTCTTTGGGTGGTGTTGGCTACCAGCTTGGCTGGATTCAAAAAAGGGTTGGACTGGTTCGTGGAAGTCATGGGGATCCATGGCTATTAGCCTTGATAGCAGCATGACAGCCTCTGAAGGCCGTCTGCTGGGACACTAGTGGGCTTCCTTGGGCAGTTGGCCACTGCGAGAAGACTGCTAGACTACATGGGCCAGGGATCCAATCCAGCAGGGCACTAGTTATTTTTTTATGTTCTGATTTTACTCTGAGATTCCATAATACATCTAATGGTAGGCTTTTTCTAAAAATGGATCATTCTACACATTGGTTGTGGAAAATATGGTCTATGCTTAAGGGGAAGAGGGTGTCAGTTTCAGTTTCTGACAAGCTAAGAATAATCACAAAGTGGCCAGAAATGGAAGATGTCTTTTCTTGTCTAGGATGTAAATTCACCAAAATTTAATTCATTTTGTTGCTTTTTTGGATGGGGGGAAAAGGGATGGAATACTGTATATTTCTTTCCCCGTTTTCTGTTCAATAATGCATGCAAGGATCAATCATCCCTGTCAACTGAAACTGCTTATGGCCTATTATTTGACTACCTTGGAAGCTGTGAGAGTTTGAAATAGACCTTCCTGGTTGATTTCCTTTTCTTTTGATTTGCCAATCCACCTGACAAGAACAGCTAATAGTCGTTTTTCTTTTCTCTTGAACACACTAGGGAAAACTCACGAGTTTTTTCTTAACACAAGACTTTTATGCCAAAATGTTGGAGTTGCACTAAAAAGTTAAACTAGTGAATACGTGTCAGCATGATTGGAAGTATTGTGCGGAGAGGACCTAGACTCTGTTTTGTGATGTTTGACATGCCTTTTATAGTTATACAGGTAGACATAAAGAGGCAGTTAAAATTAATGCAACCCTGTACTATCTCATGCCAACTTTGACCAGTTGAGTGCTCTTGAACAAGCCTCTGGCTGTTTGAAACAGCCCATTTCAATTTTAGAACAGACTGTGTTGAAGTCAGGATGTTTCTTTTAAAATTTAACAGATTTTAAATAATCTGTTTCAAACCTTTATTGTTTCCAGGCACAACTATTTAGATTCCATAATGGGGAGTTTCAGGCTCAGCATAGTGTTAATACAAACCTTGCACTTACAACTGTCACAGTGTCCCGCGGTCCCATGATCACAATTTGCGTACTTGGAAACCAGCATGTATTTACAACAGTTGCAGCATCCCGGGGTCATGTGATTGCCATTTGCAACCTTCCCAGGGGGTTCTGACAAGTAAAGTCAATGGGGGAAATCAGATTCACTTAACAACCATGTGATTTACTTAATGACCACAGCAAAAAGGTCATAAAATTGGGTGTGACTCACTTAACAACCACATTGCTTTGCGATGGAAGTTCCAGTCCCAATTGTGGTCGTAAGTTGAGAACTACCTTTAATTTGTAGCTATCTGAGGTATAGATTACAGATTGTTAGGGTATTATCTAGTTTACCTTCAGATGTTTTTGAGTTAGACTAGAGCAGGGATCCCCAAACTCTTTAGCATAGCAACCCCTTCATGAAGTTTCAGATTGTTGATCAACCCCTAAACATTTATTATGTGAAAATAATTTAATAAATACTACTTTTAACTAATAGTACTATGAATAATAATAATAATGATCCCTTGGATGGTCCCATTGAACCTTGGGGGTTGATATTGACCACTTTGGGGAACCCTGAACTAGAGGTATGTCTCTTCCTCATCCTTTATTTGCAATGCATTCTTCTAATGTAGACAGTATCAGCTCAGTATCTGCTTAAAATTGATCATTTTCTATTACATTATTATTTATTTTATGGTGCTTTTCAGCCAACAACTTTCAAATTAGCTAATAAAAAAATTATAAATGTGCCAAAAATATCATAATAAGCATGTAGACTATTATTAAACAATAGAAACAATATCTAGAAGCTGTAACAGTAGAAATATACAGCACTCTGAGAATGAATAAATAACTCAAAGCCCACTTTTTTAAAAATGGTTTTATCATCTGCCCCAAAAGAAAGATAAAACTAAGGGAGCAACGTGCATCTTCCAGTGAGGTAATCCCATAGCTTGTGTGCTGTTCCCAAGAAGGCCCTGCTCAATGCATTGGCCAGCTGGTGGGGTGCAAAGCATATTTGTCCTTAGAAGATCATAAATGGCCTTGGTGATTTGGTCCTTGATGATTTGGACCAAGGCTGCATGATTTGGTCCTTCTGGTCTCTGAACCTAAGCAACGTAGGGCTTTCAGTATGATAGGCAATGTGTAGCACTTTAGAAAGTAACAGTGAGCTCAAGCACAACAGAAAGTATGGCATTGAAATTCTGAATAATCCTCTTCTTTCCTCCCCAGCAGTTACTGGTAGGATATGTAGTTTTCCAATTTACTGTCTTTTAGCTGGTGCTGTGATACTCTGAGAGGGTTAAGCAGATGCGTTATCCAGCCATCCCCTTTTTAAGTGGCTGATTCCTGCAGAGTGCCTTCAGAATTGTTGTTGTTTTGGCCCCATAGTATTTCCAAAGTTTTTCAGAGTGGCTGCACTGGATACGTAATGAATGGCCACTTGAGAATTATTCTTTAAAATGATAAATAGAGTTGAAATGACTGAAAATACTATATAAAATGTCTATGGAGTTCACAGCAGTCTTTAAATGTTAAGACTATAATAAATTTAAAAAGACTATAAAACCATAATTAGCTTCATGTAAAAGGCATGCTGTATTATACACAGCTTTTGAAGTGGACTATGCTTTGTGGGTGTGATTAAATGGAGGCTGTTGAAGCCGTCCAATTGCTAGCAGAAATAGCTGAATAATCCCTGTAGATTAAATTTATAGGCCTTTACTGAAACAGAAACAAAGTAAAAGGACTTTAAGTAAACAGGTATAGTGGGGCAAAAAAGTATTTAGTCAGCCACCAATTGTGCAAGTTCTCCCACTTAAAAAG